TTTGTTCATATATTTGCATTTAAAGAGTCTAACTTATGAATTATTTTTTTCTGTATAGTTCTTGATTCATTATCATGGGATTCACTACCAAGTAGTTTCAAGAATACTTGAATGTTTTTTTTTTTCTTAGTACTTTGTTTTTAATATTTGTCCTTTTCATGTCAGTTTTTCACTTGATATTAACTGATTTAATACTTATGATTACATGCAACTGTAACAGATAACCTGTTGCTATTTACTTTTGAAGGTCTGATCTATCTAAGAAATTTTCAAAATTCTATACCTCTTTACTGACATATGAAGTCAAATTAGCATTCAGATCTAAAATGATAAATGACATCCTGAAATATAGTAAAAACTGAAATAAGTATAGAAAATGACTTACTTTTGTATCAATAAAAAAAATCATCTATTAGGAATTGACACTTTTTGAGAAAAATGTGAGATTTTAACACTATCTGTATAGTGATTGTTTTAATAAAATGTAAAAGAAGAATAAGAGATATATGAATAATATTAAGTCCGAAATAATAGAGCATCACATGGGCAGTTCTCACCAATGTTCTTACTTTTAACTTATTCCTTTTTTCTTTCCATTAAAAAGAAGGAAAAGTTAAGTTATATAATAAAAAAGTTAAAGTGAAATGAAGCTTTGCTATATAAAATAAATTTAAATCAATAAGACCCTAGAAATATTAAGTCTATTTCATTAAATCTTTATGCAAAATGTATGATTAAAACTGCTAACAAATCTGATATCTCAAAGAATTAAACATTCTGTATATCACTTGAATAAATGTTATTTTAACCTACAATTTAATGTATACTATAAATTATAACAGAGCATTTTATAGCATAAAATTTGGAAAACACAACACAATAAGTATTTTCTAAAGAAACCTTCCCTTACATCTAAAAATAAGATAAATTATGAATCAAAAAAGTAAATACTCAAAAGTTCAACCACTTCCCCATATAGAGAGGTAAAAATCTCAAAAACAACTGTGGTCAATAAAGCAACAACAGTAATCATTTGTTGAAGTTTATGTACTTAGTTCGATTTGTTTTACATTATGATTTTGTAAAAGCAAACCAAAGACTTTTACCCAAATCTAAGAGAAGTTTATGCCAAATCTATAAATAGGAATAAATATTTTTCTCTTTCAATGAAAAAGAGAGAAAAGAACAGTCATTAAAAGCTTACATGTTAGGATTGAAGACAATTAGGTATTTTTTGTTATTTAAGTTTTAGCTGGTAAATTTCATTCAAAACACAGCAAAGTTCCTTGGAGATTTTACGAAAACAAGAAAATTAACTCAAGGGCTCTTCTAAAATAAGCTTTTTGAAGACTCAGTTTCCAGGATGCTTTAAAATCAGTGAATAAAGCCATTGATTGTATGTTGCTCTATTACAATCATTATATCTCAGATTTGTTGTTTTGATATAAAAGTAACCTACATTAAATACTTTTAGGTAACTGTATTAAAGTGAATAGCCACACAATAACAATTTAATGTTAATATTTCAAAGTGAAGTTAAAATTTTTATCATGTTAATACATTCTACCCATGTGTACATAGAAGGTATCATTAAAGAGAAATATTTATCACGTTATTTTAAAAAATGATAATCCGAGAATATTAATGTATAATACTGTCATTTTATTTTTGATACAATTATCAAGAAAAAAAGAAAAAAAAAGAAAAAAAAAAAAGCAGGATAAAACTAAAGAAATTCAATAAATCAAAATTCATATTTATCAAAATGTATTGCACATGAAAAAAATATTGTCTGTTTACCTTTATATATATATATATATATATATATATATATATATAAAACCAGCCAGAAGATCCAAGAAGTGAAATCATGGTAGCTTGGTGAGGTTGTTATACCTTTTAATTTAATATTTAAGAATATTGCTCTGCAGACTAGGCACTGTCAAAATCTACTGGAATTAGTCAATTTCAGAGTAGACTTTATCCCATAGCTGATTTATGCAAGAGGAAATCATATATATATATATATATATATATATATATATATATATATATATATATATATATATATAATTTACATACAAGGATTGCTCTAAAAATTTTTGCCACCTATTTTATCATGTTGCTGGTATGACAGTAAAAAGTAAAAATTGAACATGCTTGCCAATAATTCATAATTCCTTTACTTGTTACAGATAGCAGCTGAGTAGCAATTTGGTAAAATAGTGTCTGACACGAAAGTACATACAAAGCAGAGTTATATCATTGCACTCATTGAAATTTACTAACATTTGCTGAATGTTTATAGAGACCAAACAGTATATGTGACCACAGTTAGGAGGTGGGTAATTCATTTCAGTATTAGTGATATGCGTGGCAAGCAATATTTTGGGCAACCATGCACAATGTCAACCCACAAAATGAAAAACTCTTAATCACTAGTGAAAATGCACAGCCTATGTGATGACCATGTAGAAGAGTCGTGTTTTACAGATGAAAACTTGTTCTATCCAATGGCATTATTGTGCTCTATATATCTGTTGTAGTTTCCATGGAAATAAATTGAAGATTTTACTTTAAGATTCCATATATATGTACATAAAAGCACATACATATAATTAATAATTAAAAATAAAATTTTTTTTCTCAATCTGTACTCAGTTTCATGGAAGTTTTATCCAATCATCAGCAGATTACACACACGAGTTGGGATCAAATATGGATTGGATATTCAACAGATCGACAGAATGAGAAAAGACAAATAGGAAACATCTATCAATATAACATGTTTCACTTATTAAAGCTTCAAAGAATGAGATGGAGAAAAAGAAAGAAATTCTTGTATTTTTACTTTTGTGTTGTTTGATTTTTGCTCTTTAAACTAACATTAATGTAATTAAATTCAAAATGCCACAAATTATACTAACGTTGGTTTAAAGAGTCAAATACACATGAAACATGACTAACCAATGAAAATCAAACAACAAAAGTAAGAATACCAGAATTTCTTTCTTCTTTTTCTCCATATCTCATTCTCTGAAGAAGCTTTAATAAAAGTAAAATATTCTTAGATTGATAAACGTTTCCCATTTGTTCTTTATCTTACCCTATATATATATATATATATATATATATATATATATATATAATAAATGTCAGTGTGTCACTTTCAATTAAAGGGACAATTGTCAAGTTTTCATTACTGCAATTCTTTTCAATGATTTTTTTTACATTAATTTTTGCAACAAATTTTTTTGTAGTAACAATTTTTATGACTTGGAAATAAATTTGGGAATAATTGCAATTAATTGCAAAATCAAGCAAAAGTCACCCATAAAATAAAATAATTGTACAGAAAGTAATGACCTACACACATAAAATTGTCTTTAAATTAAGTGACAGCAGAAGAATTATCATTGACCTTTTAAAAGGTAAGCTTAAATATTAGCAATACTTAAATGCAGAATTTTGAATTCTTCTGTAGTTTATTGTTGCCTATCACATATGGCAGCATTATGCTTTGCAAAAAAATCTCCACCAACAGAGGACCAGATTGCAATCAAAAAAGCCAAGGCTGCAGTAAGGAAAAGAAAATCCCATGCAAATGAAAACCCAGATCAAATGACAACCAAGAGAACTTCTATTGCTGAGAATATGCAAAGACTTATGGACTATCAAACTCGTGAACAAGCCACAGGCCTAATCAAGAGCCTTCTGCAAGAGTTAGCTTAAATGCCACCCAATAAGATGGCTTATATATATATATATATACACACACACACAAAGAGTTGGTGAAAGTTCTCAATACAAACAGAGTTTCTCCGCAAAAAATTCTATTTTATATTTTCAGATTTTGAAAAGTTAGACCAAAAATTTTCAGCATCACCCAATGCATATATATATATATTAATACCATTAACTTTTTAAATTAATACCATTAAGTTAACACTAAAGCTTCTTTAAAATGCTAATGTGCGTAATACATAGGTATATTTTTACCATTGGACTAGCTAGATCCAACTGTCACTTCTACACTAAATTTCTTTTCTTGCACTTCCCTTGTGATTTCTTGCTTCCTTGATAACTACAATCTTTAAAAATCTAAATGCAATGTCAATAGATATCTTCCATCTTCAACCCTGTTTCTTTTTCGTCCTTTCCTCACTTCATCTTCATTCTTTTACTCCCTGTAAACCCTTGCATTCTAGTAAGCATTATCACCTTGCTTGAGGTGAAATGGTAATATATATATAAGTAGACATTAGTCAACACCCAGAGGTGACAATGTTATGCTAAATGCAATCATCAGGCCATATGCACATGTCCTGATGATGACATTTTGCATGAAAGACTGTCACCTCTGGGTGTTGACTTCAATGTCCACTTATATTTATATATTCTGTTATGTACTTAGTTTAATCCATAAATATAGCATACATTAAAACTATTTTAATATATATATATATATATATATATATAATAAACATTGGCATGTTAAACTATATTGTTAATGTTATCAATAAAAAGTTGTTTATATATTTGTGAGAGGGTCTAATTTATTGTAAATCATTTTATTCTCCAAGTATTTTAAGAAATATAGGGATGCACCTATTTATGGGATTGTGTAGACATAAAAGTTAGAATTTTTTAATAAAAAAATAGCAAATATTTCTGTTTCCTTAAGAAAAATACATCAGATCTTAATATATACAAATAAATGTTACATCAGTTTATATTTTCTTTATGTACATGTTAGGACTAGTATCAGTGTAGTATTACATGTTCACACACACACACACAATTGTATACAAGTAAATATTTTAAAGTATTTTCATGAACATGTGTGTGTATGTATGAGCATATATATACACATGTGTGTAATTAGAGCTAAGTCAACAAGTAAATATAGTGTTATTTCTAAATAAAAAGTCATTGTTAGTGGTCAGTAGTCATCTTAGGCCAGGAAGGAAAGGAAAGGCAGAGATGTACTGACCACTGACCTGTAGCTGCTGGTCAGCAAGTCTGTGTTCCCTCTCAAGTTTTTCCAGTTGCAATGTTGCTTCTGCCAACAATGCTGCTTGCCGGTTTCTTTCTTCTTCAACGCCTTCACGTTTTGACTGTTCTTCAGCCAGAAGTTTTTCCTGCTCCGCCTTTAGACGTTCTAATTCATCACGTTTAGTAAATTCTTCTTCCAAAACCCTGCAAAAATAGGAAATTCAACGTATTAGATCTTTGTATCAAGTGTATCACAATACATTCACTGTTATTAATAACAGAATATGATACCAAAATACAAACATACACACAAAATTTAGTTCTATGTAAAATACAGTAAAACACTAATGAATAGCATATATTTATATTAAATGGTTTCAAAATCATTTTTTACAATCTTATAGAGAATAAAATAGCACATTTTGGTAACATAGGCAAGTATATTTACTTCTGTATAAAGTAGAATATAATTTCATACAGTATTTTATGAAATAATTCATAGTATTAAAATTATATAATATTGGTCTAAAACATGCATTAGGCAAGTGCAAAAGTTTCCAGCAAAAAATCCAGTTCTCAACTATATATTTAGTCTCAACTTTTCAAAAAAGAGCTCTGGAAACTTTTGCACACATCCATTAATTTACTACTACATAATACATAAAAAATAATTTAGTATTATATACTATTACTTTATACCATATGCACGAGAATTTTTACAGCTAAGTTGTTTCTTCTAGTAAAAAAGTTATTACCCATGTTATAGACATGACTAACAAATATTCAAATTTTGTAAAACTTCACACACACACAAAAAAAAACAAAAAAACAGCACTAACATAATGGTATTACCATCTGGGATTAAGTTATTTAAATACAAAACCAAATATGAAAATTTTTTCCCTTTGAAATAGACTTAAAACTGTTTACTTCATCTGGCAACAACTACAAAAGAGAAGTAAGTGATTTTAAGTTTTTTTCTTTTGTGATGTAAGATTGTCACCTTGCTTGAGCAATCCGCACAAGTTCTTCATCTCTCTTTGCTTGTCTCTCTTCTTCTAAAAGTCTCTCCAACTGCTCTTTTATCTCTTCTAATTCCCTCAAATGATCTTTGTCAGCTTCTCTTAATGCAGATTCTAACTGGAGTCTGGCTTCAGCTTCAGCTCTAGCCTGGGAAAGAAAGAATAAGAAAAAGTAAAATAAATTACTACTCTCGTAAGATAAAGTGGATGTATTTAAAATTCTACTAAAATGAAACATTGTGACCACAAATTTGTATAAAAAGGGACAAATATTACATAAGTTTGATTTTGTACTTGAATCTTATTTGCAAGAATAGGCATATGTGTCTGCAAACATGAATATGTTTATGCAAATAAAAGTGTATAGGAGAGACACCATGACATTTGTTATTATAAGGAATAAAAAAATAGATAAAACTCATCTAACATTCATCTTTTCTTTCATATTAGTTTTCAAACATTTCTATTTCTTACCTGTTTTTCTTCTTCAAGTTCTTTCATCTTCTCCTGAATAATCTGCTGCTCTCTTTGACGCTGTAAGCATTCTTCAGCCTCTTTTTGACGAATAGCAATTCGTTTTTTGCTTCGTTTGGCTAGTTCTATCTTCTGGAAATGAATATCTTCACCATCAACATCAATGGCTTTTTGCAAAGCTAGTGAAGAAAGAAAACAATGCAGTATTCAAAGATGATGCATTAAAATTGTTAATTCAGTGATGCTAGATTGTTAAATATATTTGTTAACTTTTATGTTCTATGCTGATGATGTTGAAGATAATCTTTCATAGCATTTTTGCTTCTTAGTAACTCTAGTCATTCTGTAAATCTGTTTTCTAATGTGATTGAAATTTTATTTTCAATTTGACACCCCTTTGAGAGAATGCCAAGCAGACAAGAATGAGCATGTTCGACATCTTTGATTTTAATCACGATCACAAAGCTGCATTTGTGCAGTGTACGGAGATAACTTCATTACCAACAGAATGGCACTGAAATGGTTTTTCCATTTCAAAGAGAGGTTGTTTGAACATACAGATCCTCCATCTCCTGGATGATCTGTTCAGTTTTATAAGAACCAATTGCAAACACTGATTAAAGAAGAACACTTAGGAATTGGCCCAGAAGATGGCAAGTTCTCATTATTGTTGCTCATTAACTTCACTCAGTGGGTAAGGTCCAGAAACACAGTGCATGGGTGCTACATGAATTGACCTAGAGAAACAAATTCAACTGCTCCACCAGGCTACTTATGGATATAAAGAAAGAGTTCAATTTGGAAGTTCTGCCACACCCATCATATTCTCCCAATTTAGCCAACTCCTTTTTTCTGTCACTTTCTAACAATTTGAGAGGCGTTTCATTCAATGATGTGGAGCTTAAAACATGGCTTTGTGAAAAGTGAAAAGCTAGTGATTTCTATAATTGAGCCATTGAACAGTTAGTGGATCATTTGCAGGAGGCAGTAAACAATGGAGGAGGAATACACTGTTGAATGATTTATTAGAACTATTAATAAATAAGTATTAAAATAAATTTAAATTTTTTTTTTTTTTTTTTTTAAATTAGTATCACTCACACACACTAAGCAAGAAAGTACAGCTACTAACACACAATGGGTTACAGGGTGTGGAGGAATTAGGAACAGAATCATTAGTAATGAGCAGAAAGAGAAAAGAGAAATTCAGGAGGACAGTAGATAACGATTGACATTGAATTTAAACTTTTGCAGATTAAACTTGTTTGGAAAGCATGAAGCTGAGAGGGAGTCCCACAAGCAAGAAGTCCAAGATAAGAAACTTAGCATAGAAGTTACATCTTCATCAAGCTAGTTCAACTGTAAATTGATGAGATCTCACTGCCAGTGTAGTATTGCACTTAAATTCATACAGTCTAGATACCATAGATTTGATCTGAACAATTACTATGAAAGTAATTATAAAAATGGCACAGAGAAGTAACTTTATGATAGTGAGCAAGTGACTGAAGTCAAGCTACCAGATCAGGACCAATAATATTGCTGATTCTTCTTTGGATCTTATCAAGAAGATCCAAAAGGCACCAGACCATATATGACAGCAATATTCTAAGCATGGATGAATGGTAGACATCGATATGCAAAATAGACTCCAGAGAGAAAAATTGTCTCACCAAACACAGCGAACCAAGTTTCTTAGCAGCTGACTTAACAATGGATTCAATATAGTCTTTCCATTTCATGTCAACTGAGAACGTTAGCTCGAGAAGGTGCAACGAGTCACTTTCCTGGTGGATAGCATCAGCCATGCTGGTGGAAGGCAGAAAGGGGGTCTCCCAGATGATTAATGGAGAGAAGTTTAGTTTTGGAAGAATTAAAATTTACAAGCCATCTTTTGTTATAATTTGAAGAAAAATTATGCATTTCAGTATTACTCAATGATTTTGCCAATGTGACCACCATCCTCTGGCTTTCTCCTATATTTTGGATAGGAGTCATTTCTTTATTCAAATTTAAATCAAAAGGGGAAAAATCTTTTAGTGGGGGATGTGTGCAAAAACAGCTTAATTTGACAACTTTGATATGTATCTGATGTGATACTTGATGGAATGAATTGATGAGCAGATTTCAACAGTGATATGACAGTTGAATTCTCCCAACAAATATGTATTTCAACTTGATGTCCATATTGTCTCATTTTGATCTTGCCAATGTGATCACCATCTTCTGGCTTTCTCCTCCTATATTTTGGATAGGAGTCATTCCCTTGTTCAAATTTAAATCAAGGAGAAAAAAATTTTCAGTGAGGTGGTTTGTGCCACCAAGGCCCTCCCTTGATGAAAATGAAATTGACATATCCAAGTACCCTAAGAGTCATTCCCTTATTTAAATTATATCAAAGGAAAAAAATTTCGGGGGGGGGTATGCTCCCAGGGATCCCCTTTAATCAAAATGAAATACTTATCCAATCACCCCAGGTAATGTAGTTTCAGAATATATATGTTTATGGGGATCTATCTCCAAAACCCTAGGAGGAGTTTGATAACAAACAGACAGAGGCTACAACTTTATATATATAAATTATGTTTAAATAAAATATCCATATTTGAAAATTTTACCTTAAAACTCAAATCCAGGCATTGCTTCATGTTTTGTAAAGAAATCTGTGCTAGTTAGTAGCAAAAAAAAAAAAAAATAATTTTCATATTTAAAACAAAATTTAATTATCAAAACATTTGTTTTACCTGATATCCACTCATTTTTGGTTTTCATATCAGAAACATGAAGTTCATAATTTTTCTGTGGAGTATGTAATATAAATCGGCAGGGTTTATCTACTGTTGGCTGCAATTAAAAAAATTGTCACAAATTAGATCAGATTTAAAACCATAAGATACTTTGTGCAAATATAGACAGAAGATAGAAGGGGTTTCTTATGTAAAAGGCAAACTATAAATGTAAATATTCTTTTAACTGTACAATATTTTTATTGTGTGTGTGTGTGTGTGTGTGTGAACTGAAAAGAATTTACTCATGTACCCACTAACATAACTTTAAATAATGAAACAATTTTAAATGCTATTAACAGTTATAATGACTATCCTATTTTGGTTGATAATAGTAATATTTATGTGGTAAATATGACATTTAACAAATGACATTAACATTAAACAAGAATAAATTTTTTAAGAAAATTTTCCAAATTTATTGGCACCTAGAATATCATTATTTCATATTTTTAAACCACTGTCTTCATTATTGTCATTGTTTTTAACACTGTTTTGAATAATGTATTCTTTGCATTTTTCAGGATTATGTTACATTCAATCTTTTGGACTCATTGATTAATTTTTCTTTTTTATCTCATTTAAAAAAAAAAAAAAAAAAACACCAGTCAGACAACATCACAAGACAGTATTAAGTATATCATATTAAGATATTAGCAGTTTATCTCTAGTTGGTCATATTCTAGGAAGCATTAAAAAGATTTCAGAACTATAGTTTATAATCTTTAAAAAGTTTTGCATTTATCTCTAATATCTAAGATGTTAAATACTAAAACTAGTTATTATGAGAAGTGATTAATATTTCTAATGGCTATAAGCATAATTAAACATGCAGAATTTAGTTACACATACATCATATTAACATAAGTTTCAAATTAAATAATGAAATTTTTCAGATATACAATAATATCCCCCAAGATATATATACCAAGTATCTAATACTTTTTGTATAATAGACAAAGTATATCTGAGGGTTTAAGCCTTTATGGTACTCCTGGAAAACTAATCTAGGTAAAAGATATGAAGGTTAATAAAAATATATATAAAAGCAAAAAAAAAGTTTAAACATGTTATATTTAACTCTTATATTATTTCTAAGATAGGAAGTTATTCCTAATATGTTTTATTTTTTATCCGAAATTTCTTCCTTCAAGCAAAGAAATAATATAATTGTTTTTTTTTTACCAATTAATTTTAACATTAAAAGCAAAACTAGCCTACAAATCTAATTTTAATGAATATATCTTATTAGATATGATTTGGAGAACAGAAGTACAAAAAAAGAATGGCAGAAAATTCAAGCAAAAGTAATTTATAACGCTTTCTTTTTCAATATTTAAATTTCAGTGTTTAATTAAATATATCTTAGTAAATAATTTATATTCATTTAAAAAATTATTTTCTTTTTCAAATTTGTCACATTATGAAATTAAAAAAATGCATATCTTCTCTTAAGGAATTGTTTTATGTTGATTTATTATGTTTTCTTTTTAAGAAAAAGACTACATTTTCATATACTATAAGCTATGCATATCTAAGCATGTGCATATTTTGAAAGCAGTACAGAAAAGAAATTAATGTGCACACTAAAGATTTGTTAACTTAAAATAATGTAGCAATTAATAATTACATTTATCATTATAATGATAAAATGATGCAAACTCAATACTTATATAGGAAGAGTGAAATTGTTGCAACTATTGCCTACTTAGTGTCTGGTTGTCTAAGATCAACATAAAAAAAATATTACATTATAGTGTGTCACATTCTAAAAAACGGTATGAATATAAGCCTGAATAGAAGGTCTTGAGGTCACTACGTTTTGGGACTTTACATAAAAGCTTATAGATCAGACAGTGATTAAATACAAGAAATAAATAGCATTGTCATTGGGTTAGAATATATCTGCTAAAGAATATGACAAAATAAGTAAATATAACCATCTTGAAATTGAAACTGAAAAATGTGGGACCTTAAAACTACTGTTGTACCTATCATAATTGAAGTTCTTGGTGCAATAAAAAAAAAATACAGGTAAAATTAATAACAATTTTGGCAGGCTATTATCAATGTAAAAAAATGCATAAACACTGTACACATTAAGTATCACTTATCAGAATTTATGTAAACAAAATACTGCATATATTTACTACATTACAGGAGAAATAGAAAAAATAGAATAATTTATAAAAAATACTGTCTTAGTTACTTTTTTTTAAATATTAATGTGTCAAAATTATCTTGAATCAATTTCAAGTTTACATTTGCAAAATATTGTGTGAACATACTTTTTCTCACAGGAAAAAAAATTTACATGAGAATTTTGTACACACTGATAACTAAAAATTACAAGAGTTTATAACAAGCTGTCTTAAATAAAATATGAAAAAAAAATTAAGTTTTCAACTATTTACTATTATTTTACTTGTTTATTTTCACTTTATATTTATTATATAAAAGGAGTACGAGACAAAGTATATAAACTTATTCTTGAAATTTCAGGAATAATGCTAAAAATACATATTTGTGATTCATATTCAACTTACCACAACAACACAGTTCTTGTTGATTTCTATAGAGCCTTTTTGGTCTTTTAAGTCTGCTGCTGTATAGTAAGAGATGTTTTTTGGTTTTAGTACAAAATATCGTTCTTTCCATGCTGCTACATGATTTCCTTTCTTTGACATGAAACCCTACAATAAAAAGATTTTTTTCCTTTAGATACTATATAGTAAAATGATTCATGAGCACAGATTTTTCCCCAAAGAAATCTGTCCTTATATTTCAAATATATTTTTACATACAAATAGATCTATTGACATTAACTTTTAAGATTTGAAATAGTCTACATTGATTACAGTATGCAAAAAACTTGTTCTGCCCATGAAAACAATTTTTCTACCACAGAAATTTAATATTTAAATGGGTTATGCCCGTTTAGCATTTAATTAAGCAATAAGAGTGCATTCCTATTGTATAGATATGCTAGACAAGGATCAGAAAGAATTACTCTGACAGAAAGAAAGGGGGTAAATTTACTATATATAACTAGTTATACAACTAATTTTGTAGATAATCAAAAATTAATAAATCATTATCCAATGATAAATCAAGAAAAATAAATAGAACTTTAAAATTACAGATGATTGGTAAGTAAAAGAAATATAATTTAAGTTTTATAGAATATAAAATGGTATTAGACTGCTAACTTTCATAAAAATGTTAAAACATGTCTATTTTCAAAATAATGACAAACTGAAACAAAAATTGTTTAATGAATAACTAAAAGTTCCATTAAAAGTTTAAGATAATATATACAGAAGGTAGAAAGCAACTGGTTAATTTTGTGCCAACTAATTCTTGATTATATAATAATCCAGCTAAAATAATTATTATTATATGTAGCGTGTGCCAATTGAGAACAAATTATGTTATAAAGTAAAACAAAGATATTCAGTGGAAGAAAAAAAAAAACAGTATATTTTTAAAAAATATTTTCCACATGTTCAATTAAAAAATAATAAGATTATTCAATAAAGCTACCTTCAGTCTCAAAGGTATCCCCTGAAATGACTAAATAGATGGAACTGGTGATTCACATTGAACCTTCATCAATTCCTGGAAATTGTGGGGCCACTAGTTGATTGTTCCTCTCAACAATGCTCCCGGAGATAGTTGTCCTAGAGATTTAAATTAGGAGAGTTAGGAGCTCATATGTTGAAGGTGACATGTAGAAATTTTCAGCCAACCACTCCTGGATCTTACAGGCCATGAGGGAGAGAGCAGAGTTTTCCCCTGGGCCATTCTTCAATCCAGAACTTGGCCACCATGTCTAGAAGATTGATACATCAAGAAGACAGAATAGCATGACATGGACCTCATTACTCATAAGCCACAAGAGTATCACAGATGTGAATTTAGTGCTCAGCACAGTGAGTACCTCTATGGGGTCCATGTAGAGTCACCTATCATTCTTCATGCCTACTATTTGAGCTGATCAGCAGTAGCCGTCACTAACTTTCTGAGCTTGTCATTATGTTCTGGATCTATGGATGAAGTACACTGATCAAATGTTTTCTAGCTATGTATTACACAAATATGTCAGAGGCCTTCAGTTTATTAGACATTGAACCTGAAGGTTCTGAAGTTCAATATCACCAGGTCACTATAGTTGGTAGCTAGTACCAAGATCACAGTATACTTCATTTCTTGTGTCAGATTAGAAGCTGCCATGTTGATGTTCTCAATACATTAGAAAGAAAAATGAAAAAGTTAAAATTTGGTACATGCCATGTAACATTATGTTAGGTCATCTTCAATTTATAGCTCACTAAAGGTGTGTTCTCAAATGCCTAGCACATCCTATATATAAATTAACATGATCCAACATACTGATTTTATGGTTATATTATCTCAATAAAATGTTTGCATTACGTAATCATTTTTTATGCCCTTGATCTGAAAAGTTGGTCATTTTAAATATGTGACATGCTTACAATTCTGTTCAAAAGTTGTTAGAACATGATTATGCATTCTATAGTTTTATAAGAAACAACCATGACAGTTTTTAGAAAGATACTCTTTAAGTTTGGGTTTTACGAGTTGAAACCAAACTTTCAAGGTTAGTGACTAATTAGAAATCAAAGTATTTTTTAATTAAAAAAAAAAAAAAAAAAAAAAAAAAAATAGAAAATAACATTTTTTCTTTTAAGTATTTTTTAATAAGTCTGACCACTTAAACAGACAAGAGGAAACTAAAAATAGGATGACCTTCGATTCTATGCTTTACCATTGCTGCCAATATTTATTCAACACAATTTTTATCCTGTTTTAAAACTGTAGATTATTTTACAATGATTATATAAATACCACTAATATTTTACTTGAGACAGAACTACAAACCTTGTGATGTCCAATTTTTAATTTTATTGCTGACTCATGTGTTAAAATTATGTAAGTCACAGGATAAATGCATGTGAAACCTATATAAAAAATTCTTCTCTTTGCAAAACAAAAAACTCAACTAATTTTCCCAAACACTTTTTACAATTTAACTGAATGAAGCACATGACCATTTGCTAAGTAAAAATTTCTTACTGCACATGCCTGAACAAAAGATAAATGAATAGAAGATATTTAATTAATCTTTGATTCAACAAATATTTTTTTAGATTTATAACATGCACAAAAACACACCTACATAGCTACACATGCACGTGAATGTCTGCATGTGTTTCTCTATGTGTACTTAAAATCTGGTTGAAGAATAAGCTAAATTTAACTTCTATTTTTTTCTTACTATGCACATGCAATAGTCTTAATGACTAATTTATTCATCAAGTTACTCTGGATGAGTTTGCTTAGAGTAGTAGTTTAAAATTTGTGCTGCAGAATGAATCATATTTTAAGAAGCAAGCACATGAAACATGGAAAACAATTTTTTTAAATATATTTGAGGCATCTAATGGTATTTTAAAGAACAGCTTTATGTTATACTTTAATATCAGATTTAATAGAAAAAAAAAAAAATAAATAAATAAATTTTATGAAATTAGGTTTGCCATAAGGATACAACTAATTTCATCATTACTGATCAAACTTTAAAAGTTTGAAACTCAAGCATACAACCAAAAAAGTTCTACAGTTAATAACCATCCTACATCATTTTATTTAGGTTTTCTTTTTACAGATATACTAAGAATATACAGATTTTACATAGAATGCATAATAAATTTATTTTCTAATCCGAATAAACAGAATATCTGAAAGTTGTCAGTGTAGTAATATTATTTACATTACCAACTAGCTTAAAATGGTGCTAACAAAATATTTTCATACCAGAAGCTCCAGCTGATAGACACAAAGTTCTAAGTTACTAGAAAATCACATTTCTACCAGTAATTAAAAACTATCATGCATTGTATCAATACATAAACTATCACTAAGACTAGTAAGATACCTTCAAAAACCTTTCTCATATTTTTACTGTTAACTGTGATTTGGGCCAGAGTAGTAATTTGATGATATTAAAAACCTGAAAAAATAAAAGGCTGTCATGAGGAATAACAACAATTGTTTTTATGAAATAGGATAATTTAAGTAATCAATAAATATGCTTTACAGCAAAGCTTCCATAGTAAATAATATTGACATCATTAGTAACGTTATAATAGAGAATTATAACATGAAAGTATAAATAAATAGGACAGGTTAGGTTACAAGGTCTTTCTAAATGAAAGAAGTTCTATCAGAATTATTATTACTGTTTTTATTTATATCAAAATTTTCAAAACAATTACATTTATTTGACATCAGATTGTAGTTCTACTCTAGTTCCAACGTACTATGTCATACTAAGTTTTTTAGCATAGTTTTTCTGTAATAGCTTTCATATTAGTGAATAAAAATCCTACAAATTAAAATTTTTTTTTTAAATATAGTTAAATTTGAGTCATAATCCGAAGACTAATCTTGGATGGTATTTGTTAAAATATCGGATCATATAAAACATTAAAATTGCCAAATCTGTCATCAACTCACTGAGTATGGTCAGATCCAATTTCCTTTCATTTTTGCTAACCAAAACTGGGTAAATGTAACTTTTTAATGTGAGCAAAGTATGTACAGATGCCAGTAAGTATAGGGTTACATACATATTTGACCTTCTTTGTAGACATTCAGTATAACAGGTCAGACTGCATTAAATTTTACAGATAGCACCATGAAAAACCAAATAAACTTATACACTTGAATAGTTCTTAGCTTAACCTACTTCTCAAAATCTGACCACATGATCAAACATCAGATTTCTAGGGGAAGGGCTTTTTGATAAAGCCAAGAACTTTTCAGCATTCCGCCATATTAGTCATATGATTAACCAACAAGAAAATTCTTTTAAGAAGCCCTGGCAAATAAGTATTTTCTGTAGATATTTTAGTACAATAAAAAGAATATTAAAATGTAATAACAGAATATATACATAAGTATGTTTAGGTAGCAAGAATTCATTTAAACAAATTAAATTCAACCAACAAAGTCTTTAATTTTTTTTTATATTTTTCTAATTTGTTCTACATCTAAATCAAAATTGAGAATATACAGTTCAAAGTTTGTTTTTGTTCTGTCTTTGTTTGAATTATTTTGATTGTCTCAGTCATTTTCAAGAATCAAATGTTTTCACTATGGTAGAAAACATTAATATTTTTGGAAACACTACATTTCAAATATACATGTATCATATGTAACATCACATGTAAAATGCTTTCAGAGAGTTTTTCAATTCTGTTTCACTGAAATTATGATATATGCTTGATATATCAATGAGACATTAATTTATATGAAAAGCAAAGTTGAAATAAAACCCTTCAAGAAACCGTCAAGAATAACTATTTTACGCTTTAGTCATGAATTTAACATTAGTAATAGGAACCCTTTCCTTTGCATTTTAGATGCTAAATGTCATAATTTTAATATTTCACTGTATTAAAAAAAACAAGCAAAAATAAGTGAATAGCCCTGACAGACATAAAATAGTTGCTATAAAAATCTCAATTAACCAAATAAAATTATCTTTTTCAGAAACTTTATTTCATAAAGAATTAATCAACATAAAACACTGATCAGAAATAATTTCCATAACTGCACTCTAATGATAAACAAGATGAAAAAGAAAAATATAATTTTCCCAAAGACATTACTTAATGATTGCAATAAATACCAAAGATTTATCATTTGTTAGAAAAAGATTAAAATATCTAACCTAATCATTACCAATAACTCAGGGCAACAAAATACCTCCTGTGTAAAAACAATGTTGCTTATGTCATTTCGGAGATTGTATTTCCGATACAACAAAAATAAAAACATTACATTTTTACATTAGGAGATAGTGCTTCCCTTGCTCAAGAGGGAAACTGCTGGAAGACTATGTATGGCAACAGGACTCTGCACCATGCCACGTAAAACGGGAGAACCCAGTCATGGCTGTCAGACAATTTCTGCAACCACATCAGCCCTTACATCTAGCCACCTAACTCCTCAGACTGCAACGGCCTTGATTATTATGTTTGGGGCACAGTTGATCAATAGACCAACAAAGTTCCTTCCAATACCAAAGATAAACTAAAGGCAAGGATTATGGCAGCATTTACCAGCGTAAACAAGGAGACCATCCAGAGGAGTTGTCGAAGATTCTGAAGTCATCCGGAAGCCATGGTTGAAGCCAATGGCAATTTTATTGAATAAATTTACTCTTTAGTATTTCAAGATACTTTTGTGTAATTTTCATAAATATATCTGTTAAAATGAAGTTAGTGATATATAGATAGATAGGTTAGTTAATAAAACAAGGACAAACGAAAGGGGACCAATATAATCAGTATAAAAAACATTAATTATTAACCTTATGACAGAAATGAAGCACAGAAAGAGAGGTTTTAAGTCCAGAATTTTCAGACACCTGCTGTGTCCTTCATCAACAGAGCAAGAAATAAACAGAAATGGGAATTACTCACCAACAGATGTTTTTGTAGATGGTGTATTTTCTGGTAGATATCATATTATTAGCAAAAACTTGATCTGTCTGATTCCTCACCGTGTGAAACTTATGAAAATAAACTTAAATTTAAAATTTTGATCAGTGTAAAAGCATTAGGCTGATCTATTATTATTAGTTAGGAGAGTGAGGGAATAAGACTGTAACCATAGATGAAGAGAGTTATAGGTTGTGGAGTGGAGAAGACATCTTGCATGTAGCCAATAAACTTTCAACCAAGTTATCAATTGCAGAAAGATGTGCTGTAGTTGGAATAACTTAATACAATTTCCACATCAGCAACACCACATTTTAACTCCAAATTTTAACAGCTATCACCTACCTACTATATCTTTAACAGCCATCACCCCCACCTACCTACTATATTTTTTTATGTTCTGCCACCTATGATCTCTCTCTCATTTGCACACTATTCAATAATGGAAGTATTACCCTGTACACCGAGTCCTACTTTCCAGTCACCGTCTTTTTATAACATCTTTGGTTCTATAACTATAGTTCCTTTACACATATAAGCTTATGTAGGAGTGTGGAAGGTTAGTGTAGATATGTATTAATCTTATATATGTATTTATATCATTACATGCATTGAGATTCGTAAGTTTGTGTGGTGCCTTGTGTATATTTACACACTATCATGTGCACTGTCGGAGGATGCATATTTTTCTATGAAAATTTCTGACATTCAGGCTGGTAAATGTTAATACTGTTTATTATAAATAGAGCATTTACTTAAATATTTGTATCTATAAAAAATATGTATAAATATAAAAAAATGTCTGTCCATTTCATAATATGTGCATCTATATATGTATAGGCTTTTCTCCTGTTTTTCCTTTATTTTTCCTGCACACCCACCTCCCATTTTTTAACAATAGATTTCCAAATTTTTATCTATAAGTTTTATCTTTTTATTTGTTCCTTCCTTTTTTTTCATTTTATTTCATTTAATTATATATATTGCTTTTTTCCTCCTCACTTTTTCTCTCATCAGATGTTATTCTAACTACAGCCCATCTTTCTGAAATTGAAAACTTTGTCAAACAATTTTCAGCTACACCGGCTACATGTGGGACATCTTACCCACTCTGCAACCTATCTCTATATTTACAATCTTACTCCCCCACTAAACACTTTTACACCAATCAAAATTTTTAATTTATTTTCATGTTGCTGAGTAATTCCCATTTTTCTGTTTATTTCTTGGTCTGTTGATTAAGACAGGCATGTTTGAAAATTTTGGACTTAAAACCTTTCTTTCCACACTTCATTTCTGTTATCTGGTTAATAATAAATATTTAATAAATGTTTTTCATACAGATTATATTGATATCCTTTCATTTGTCCTTGTTTTATTAACTAACCTATCTATATAATATAAAAAAAAAAAAAAAAAAAAAAAAAAAAAAATCAAATATTATAAAAGTAAATAAACTCATTCAAAATAGGAACTAATCAGTATTTTTAAACACCTTTTTACAACAAAATTAAAAATATTTAAAAATCTTTTAGTAGAAAAAAATGTCATAGCATATAAAAAAAAAAAAATTAAATTCAAAATATATTAAAAACTATTAAAATAAAGCACCATAAAAAGAAACACCTAGCTATATTGGAAACAACTTTACTTCCAGAAGATGGACAAACATCTGAAAGTACTTTGATAAATATCAAGAAATACATCTTTAGCCATCAATATAAAACAGAAAAATTAAATAAAAAAGCTTTTCTGCATGGCCTTCAATCATATGTGAGTGTGTGTATATATAAGGACATATATAGAATAGATATGAGTTCAGATATAAACCAAATAATTAGATTTTAGCAACTATATCCATACATACACAGATAAGCAAATAAATATTTACTTAATTTAATATAAGGTGTAAATCTCTCTCTCTCTCTCTATATATATATATATATATATATATATGTATAGCCAAAAGGAAAACTTATCTTAGCCGACATGTTTTATCCTTTGAGTGACTTTATTAAGGCAAATGCAAGGATTCTATTTTGAAACAAGTATTTATATACAAAAGCAAAAATGTTATTGGTTTTTCAAAAATTTTTACATTATGAACATTCATAAATATTCATCAGGTTAACTGAAAAGTTAGACAAGCTATGGAAGATGCAAATTGACACAATTCAATGTCTAATAAACAAAAGTGAATGAGTGACATTCTTGAAATTCTTTTTTCTTCCTTTACTCTCTTGTCCATTCAATAAGAACATCACTTTTTCTGAGAAAGAAAATTAAAATATAAAAATAAACAATTTTAGAAGCTGCCAGGTACAATGTACACTCATTTTGAAAAATAATTTTAAACTGCATTTGATAATTCAAAACTTATGAAATCATAAAAATGATAAATATAGTAAAACTCACCAATTGGCACAGACAATTTATCAGCAATCAAATAAGAATTTATCAATTTATTTATATATAGATTTTTGCATAAAATATCACAGAAATAATATGCAAAAGACTAACACTCCTAAAATAATGACTATAAAAGTTCCATATAAACAAAAGACTTTTCAGAATAATTAAAAATTAAGATAAATAGCTAAATTATGTTTATGCTGTATAAAAGGAGTAAGTTGGAAAAGGTAACGTAAACAAAATAACTGAAAAAAAAAAAAAAAAAAAAAAAAAAGTAGTTAGATCTCAAAATGGGATATCAATATTTGTTAAATTATAGAATTTTTTAGATAAAGGATTACATGAATAAGTAAGTAAAATAAATCATAATGAACTTCAAAAGAAAAGATACAATTTAAGCAACATGAGAGTTAACAGCAAGAAATTTTGAAAAATCAGTGTAAAATTTAAAAAACAATTTTTAAAACATCTTACCTTTTTCATAACATCATTAATTATTTCTTCATGAATCTCTTTAAGACCCAAAGAAATTTCATCATCTCGAAGTCTGCTAAGGAACTGGCGCTCAAAAAGTGCTAATATCTTTGGAAATAGGAACACATTTTTCCCACTGTGTAATACATTCACCATAGAATTTTGATCAGCATGCTGACCAGTGACCAGGCCAAATCTTTCAAAAAGTACTTCAATCTCATCTCTGTCCATTACCAGTGGCAAACTATAACATCCACTATCATCTGTCTCACACAAGAAATTAAATAGTTTCCATAAAATAAATGCATCATTTGAATGTAGCTTTTGTTGATTTGAAATCTCCCACGCTTTGCATTTGTACAGCATCCAACATATCTCTTTAATTGTTTCAGCATTAGGTGATGTGTATAGTTTAGAATCTGTGAAAACTTCTGATTTCAGCAGCTTCAAATATTCCTCAAAATTCAGTTCATTTGAATTGCATTTATCTAATTTTTCTTCTGCTTTGTTAAAGCCAAGCACATTTCCCATGTTATTCGTCAAAACCTGAAAGAAACAAAAATACATCAATTAATTGAGAATAGATAGGTTTTACTATTTTTATTCTCACCATTTTTTCTTTTACTTATTTTTTATCCAAGTCTGATTTTCAGAAAATACCTTATATTTACCATATGTAAAACAATATATTCATGACAGATTATTAAAAAAATGAAAAGGAAAAATTATAATCATTTATCAATATATGCTTGCAAAATAGTATATAATATATGAAAAGTATTTTAAGACATTTTTATGTTTATACATTTTTATAGATACAAATATTTAAGTAAATGCTGTTTATAATAAACAGTATTAAACAACATTTACTGGCCTGAATGTCCGAGAAATTTTCACAGAAAATATTCATCCTCCGACAGGATTCAAACCTGTATCCTATAAGGAATGATCATTTAGCTTGACGTACCTCAACCGATTTGGCTACAAAGGGGCATTCAGTTAGCAAGGTCGAATTTACTGTATTTGAACTTCAATCTATGAATCTCACGTATATTCATATCTGCTCATGGTATATCAAATGTAAACAAATGACGTCACACATTATGAAATGGACAAAGTCCGACAATTATTTTAAGACATATGTAATATATTTATATGCTGAAGCAGCCTCAACTGTCTGATAACATCTTATATAAGAGACCGAGATAAACCTGAATAATTCATTATAAAACATAACAGCAATTTACAAGACATACAATTTCTATTTCCTAAAATGATATAGAAGAAAGTTAAAACATTCTTATCTATTAGAAAAATCAGGATATTTCTTTATGAAATGGACAAAGTCTAACAATTATTTTAAGACATTTCTTATGTTTATACATTCTTTTTATAGATACAAATGTTTAAGTAAATGATCTGTTTATAATAAACAGTATTAATATCATTTACCAGCTTCAATGTCCAAGAAATTTCCATAGAAAAGGAATAAAATAATTGTCAGACTTTGTCCATTTCATAATGCGTGACGTCATTTGTTTACATTTGGATATGCATCAAGCAGATATGAATGTACGCGAGAAAATCATGGAGAATTGTAGTTTAAAAACAGTAAAATCGACCTTGCTAACCAAAATGCTCCTCTGTGGCTAAATCAGTAAAGCCTGTCAGGCTATATGATGGTTCCTTATAGGATACAGGTTCAATTCCTGTCAGGACATATTTTCTATGAAAATTTCTGACATTCAAGCCAGTAAATGTCAGGCCTTTCTCCTGACAAGAACCATGACCTTGGCCAACCAACCCAATAAATCAGTCAACATCTTTATACCTAATCCTTACCAAGGGCAACTAAAGAACTCCATAACAATTTTGTCACCCTTTCACACAACTACGCATATATTCTTCACACTTGATCAATACAGTTATATACAATATAGGCCCAAAAGTTTGATTGCATGCCTTCAAAATTAATTTACTAGCTCACTTTGGATCAGAGGGACTTTCTGTTCCTGAAAGATTTTATCAGCTATTCAATAATAATGAATTTAACCCATTACTGCATAAAATTTCCTTAAAATTTTAGATCTTTTTGCCTAATTTATCTTGCTAATTTCAAATTCATAAAGGCTATATTAGAAAAAGAATGTATATCTAAAAATGTTCAGTGTTTCTTTAAATACTACTATACTGTAAAGTTTTCCTTGTAATATGCGAAATAGTCAGACTCATGATTAATACTGACATGCAAAAATTATGTTTATAACTTGAATATGGTTCTTATGTATTGTACAATAACATTCTTCAGCACCTAAAAAGGTAGTTACTACATGATAAAAATTACTAGATCATTAATCTCAAATAAATGGATGACAATCTAAAATATAATATATCTAGTAGACCTATATAGTTTGTAAAAATCACATTTCAATTATTTTGACAAATTCTAACAATATTACCTATTGAATATAATTATAAACATTTATATTATCTTATACGGTAAGTAATTTATTAATATTAAATATAAAATGAAATTTCACTAAAAAATAATTACCTTAAAATATTTATTCCCAAAAAGAAAAATATTAAAACATGATCTGTTTATTGCCTGACTTGACCAAAAACTTTAAATACTTTACTTTTTTATTAAAGCTAACCATTTTCTATCATTCAACAAATGATTAATTTTAAAAATTTAAAGTTAATTATAACATCAAATAATGTCTAACATCAATGATCATTGATTTTATCCAGGAAAAGCAACATGGATGCAATTTGATGATGTTGATGCTGTCCCCAAGCAACTAAGATTTCTTCAGACATTTCTATTGCACTGAAATAAACCAATTTTCTAGGGTTTTAATGTTAATTATCAGAGTTTAGAGAATGAATTAAATAAGATGCTCCAAACCACAAATAGGCAAATCTTTTTCATAGTATGATCTATGAATATTTTATAATGAATATAAAAAAGTAAAACAAATAGTTCCGATTATTTTTGTTATTGTTTTTGAATCAAATGATTTTGGTTCCAGATGTTAATACTTGAAAATACATAAGAATTTTTTATTTCAAGTTTTATGATGAAATCTTTCTCGCACACAAATATATTCACTTCAATATACACCTATATGTTAAAAAGGTGTGCCTACTGTGTATGAGTATATACTTTGGCAAAAAAAAAAAAAAATAATAATATATATTTGTATATGAATGAATAAATGTTTAAAATAAATTATGTAGAAGTAAACCAAATGTTAAGACCCAGTAAATTCATTATATATATATATATATATAAAACAAAAGCTGATATAAAGTGTTACATAGCTGTCATTTTTCACATTCCTTCATTCACCACAATTCTGAAAAAAGATTTAAGTGTCTATATTTAATATATTATATGATTTAATATTCATTCATTTAAAATAATTATATTTTCACAGTCCCAGTTTTTGTTGGACTATAGAATAGAAACACTAAGCTAAAGTATGGTGTGCTTGTAATAAAAGCAGTTTCATGAGTTGGTACTTTAAGCAAACAAATGTATTTTAAAAGAAAGATAACAATTCTTTTCTAAAATCAAACTATTTTAAAGAGATCTACTGAACTCAAAGATTGCAAATCCCAATAAAGAAAACATTTATAAATATGAAGATTGCAGTGGATCCATATGTTCCCTATAATAAAAGCCACACTTGCATCTTACCAAATTTATAAAATCTGCCTTTAGATTATAATAACCTTTATAAATTCTATCAATATTTAATACTAAAAGCCACAAATCTGGCTGTAATCCAATTTGGCAAATATAACTTTTGACTGGAAATGGAAACGGTGTTTATATATCAAAGTACAATTTGGGTTAAGATGTGTTTACCGATGAGAAAGAGGGCAGGAGGCAATGTTTTAAACCTGGGTCACTAGTAAACAATGGGGATGGGTGAGATACTTGGTTTTGTTTAACAGTATTTGTTTTGATTAAAAGGTTGAATCAATGTTTAGATATCCCAAAATATAATTTTGGTGAAGCAAGAAGAACGTGATTGAGATAAGGTAAATAATTGGAGAATTGGTTTACATCAAGGGATAGTTTTTGGCACTCGTGGTAGCTGCATGCCGGCCGAGGGTCAAATAATTTTTCTATATTAACTCGAGATTTTGCTAATAAAGCAGATTCGAGGAAAGAGGCTGTCGTCGAGATTCACGAGACTATCGTCGGAGTGAGTCAAGAGATCTGCGGGAGAATTTTGGAGGAGAGAGAGAAGACTAACCCCTTTCTGAGAAGTCTGTATGAGACTGGACTATTAGTCATAAACCTACCCCCAGGTGATTCAATACGCGTTTATCACACACAAACCCTCTGTTAGGAATTCGCTGGATGCATTTTGTCTTTTTCTCATTTATGTTAAATGTTTTTATTCTCCCTGTAACCTCTGTTCTGATGTTATTTTATATAAAAGACGTCAATATTTCCCCTATTGTTGTCTGGCTTCTGCAGATATTTCTTGTTTTATTTTGCCACATTCTAAAACTTCCTAGCGCCAACTCTCACAGCCATGTCCACATCCCCAGTCGACTGTGAATATATGGACAACACCCCGCTTACTGGATCTAAAAACACACCATGGGCAGCAAGCAGGACTTGACCAGTTGACCAGTCGAAATAATCTACGGGTACTCAGGGAGCGTACAGCCAGTTACCCCTAAGTTCAGTTCGGACCGAGTGGACACCTCAACCCAAAGAGGAAGATGCCGGAGGTTGAGGGGCTGGGGACAAAGTGGTAGAATACTAAATTTACATATTCCATTTATTTTTTCTGATGGCATCATGCTTGATGTTCTATAAAATGTTCTATATAAAATAAAGCAGACTAAAGAAACTCCTCAAATTTCCTCTAATAACCTCTTCAATCAATAAAAAGTACACCCTTCTATTAGATTCAATAAATATAAACATCTGTACTCTTCCCTATAAACAGCCTGACATTTGATTTAGCATTTTTTCACTCAACATTACAAATCAAAACTAATTTCAGTTAGTTAATTAGCCTCAAGTGCTTCCACCCATCTGTAAAATAGCAAAGCCCAATGCTGTGTATCATAAGAGCAAGACATTTTAACCACTCAACAGTGTGAGTAATATATAAATAGCCCTCACACACACAAATATATACAAACTTGAAAAATACATGTACAACAGCTCTATGACAGAACAAAGTTGAATTAAAATTCAGTTAATTCAAAAATTTACTGATTAGATGAAAACATTCATTGAATGAAAACATAAAAATGTGAACAATTTTTAAATAAAATTAAAATATATAAGAATGCAATAAAAAACGGATGAAGAATTAGCAGAATAAAATGAATGAATAAAAAGGAATAAAATTATAGAAGCTAAAAGAATCTTAAATGAGATTGAGAAAAATATTTTCAAATTTAAGATTATTTTTATGACAAATTTCTTGAATTATTTCATGCCATACAACTTCTGTTTTTACTATTTTATCCTACATAGGAACAAAGATTTTAGGCAAGAAACAACT